GAACTACTCTGCCCGCAAGGGTAAGGCCACTGTCAAGTCCGGCCGCGGGGCTACTGCAGGCGAGACTGAGTCCGATGTCGAGTCGGAGGAGGAATCCCTGGGCCACGTGGACCTACCTGACGAGCGTCCTGGCTTGAGAAAGCGTCGCCGCAAGGATGGGTCTGACGATGACGACGACAACTACGGCGCCAACGGAAAGGGTGGCTTTTCGGGAGTTGGTGGAGGCAACGGTGCGATCCCTGTGATTGCCCATTGAGGAAGTCTCTATTCTTGTGCCGGAACGCTACAGAGGTCATACATCCAACTTCATTTACGACTTGGTCCCCTACCTGTACCGGCAGCTTGCACATTACGACCTATCGACATCACCACTGGATCGATTCGAACAAACATACATACATACAAGGCGGCTCGTTTTCTTTTTCGGCATGACAGGCTCGACATGGCTAGTGGTTCTCATTTCTTACACCATTGAGGGAAAGTGAGCGTGAAGACTGTGCCTAGATTGAGGCTTTACTTCAGCGAGGAGTCAACCCCCGGGAGAATGACTTTGGCTTTGGAGGGCAAGGAAACTGGGTCCTGGAGACGCGTGAGGCTGGTAACTTGGGGAAGGGGGCTGGTCTTATTGCTATGAGACCTGACATCTTCAGCGGATTCTTCGCCTTGCTGGAGACATCGACATTCCCACTTATGACGAACAACTTTACAAATGGGGCATGTAGACCCAAAGCCAGGATCTTGGTTCACGCTCTAGATCTTCACAGTGTCTCTCTACTCCTACGAAGGTTGGAAAGAGGGATGGGTGGTGGTTCTGCATCCGCAAGGTAAGCTCATTTCCTTCACTTCAACCAACCTGCCCACGAACTAACTAGTCTCTAGGAGAGTACTGGGACAGCTGACGAAAAGTTAAGCTTGAGAGCAGCTGGGAACGTGTAGATTAGAGCTGGGGAGAGTGAGAGGCCGATGATATGGGAAGCTTAGGTCTCCCAGAAGGGAAGGCGGGGGAATTCGAGACTCGGTACTCGGGAGCTTAGATCGCCCCCGGATTCATCGTCAAATACATACATTTCCCTTGGAGATGCCTTGTGCACCTATGATGTGAGATTTTTAACATTGACTAAAAAGGTGGAAACAAACTAGGACATGCACAGGTTCTTTCGTGAGTCAGCTACTCTTAAGACCTCATCTTGGAGAGATACTACATAACTACCTCAAGGATTGGCTGCATCGAGGCAGCGTGGATCGAAGAGCTCATAGTTACCTTGCGATGAGACCATTCCTGGAGTCAATGTGGTGATCAATGAGCTTAAGCTAAGCCACGTCAATTCAATACATTGACTTTACAAGCTGTCAAATGCTGGCTGGATCTTCGCGTGGCATGGCTGTCATCTTTGAGAAGCAATACGAGAAGATGGAGCCCGCGGTCCGCGACGCCGCATGGCCGACGCCTTCCGGGCGCCGACTCCCGCCGGCACACGGATTGCGGAAGCTGAACAGCTACTTGAACTGGCGAGACTCATGCACATTTAACCATCTCACCTCGACTAACGTGCTTTCTTGGATTCTCTTTGTGGAAGAGAAGTCAAGTACTAAAAGGGAGGGGGAGCATCGGCGCCTTTCCCGAAATCGCACATGAGCAACCCTCGCCTAACCTCATTCTTCTATGACCACTCGACATCCCACCGTTTTTGGCTCACCGCTGCTTCACACCATCTTCGCCCAACTCCTGCTCATCGATTTTCTCATTATTCTCGTATTTCACGCCCGTCCTGCGTCTCTTGCACCCAGATTATCATGACGGTACCATCCCAAAGAGACCCAAAAAGCAACCCTCTTATCTCATCACAGAGATAATGGACGGCTGGGATGTGGGCGAGGCTGCCAACCAGAACGTCGAGACCCCCGGCTAGTTGCCGGTGTCGCGCATATCAATAGATAATGCACCGCGATATGGGTATGTGGGATGTGGGATGCGGGAAAATGCCAGCAGAGCAGATCGCTGAGACTAATGGCCCATGGGAAACCTAGACCACAGCATTGGATATCAGATATATCAATCGCCCCGGGTCGCTAGTCTTGCAGGACGGGCGCGCCATCGCGGGGCAACCTTTTCCTGACTTCACCGTATCATTGCGGATGGGGAACTTTCTCGGCAGCTCGGCACCGCCAACGATGGGTTCGTATCCCGATTGAGAGTTGCGTAAAGCACACACTTAAACGATGGATGGAGTAGGCTGTGCCGTGTTTCCCGACGGATCTTACGGGGACCGGTTGCTGTAAGGGATTAATACTGGTGGTGCGACACGTCCAACCATGACAACGACGGCACTTCTCTCGCTCTCACGGACTACGGCGCGATTCATGAACAGCAAACGATAATCACGATCAGGCGAAGAGGGACTGCTATGGGTATTGCAAATAGGAGTCGACATTAAGGAAGAGGAACGAATTCCTGGAATATGTATCTCGCATCTATCTTCGACGGCCGTCAATGCGCTCAATTCCGATCTCGTCGAACGCGACCGTTTTATCTACCAGGAAAGAGGAACCAAAATATCCAGGACACCATTCAATGAAAAGGAAACGAAGACAAAGCACAAGGAAACCCGAGGTATTACATCCGTCCTGCATATCATCTGCGCGTTCGAAACTGCCGTTTGCTCCAATGTACACCAACCGCAAACAACAGTGTCGCTACATGTATGCGCCAGAAAAGCCCAAGTGAGTAACGAAAATTCCACTGATTGGAGGAAAAAGCAAAAATCGTGAGAAGCATGAGGGATGTGGGAGAGGGATGACTGAAGAATGCGCCACCGTCAGCCCAAGACAGCCGCAAACCTTGGCCGAAAGTCTTAGTTGCACCACATCTCAACACGAGTCTTGTCGAGCTGGTCCAGGACGTCAAAGTCAAGTCCTGTTTGTCGGAAAGCGACAATGATCATGTCGAAACGCTGCTCCAGCGACCGCGCGTTCCAGTCCTCGACGTCCAGGCGCGCGATTTGCGGTACAGCCTCCTGCTTGACGAGAGGATCGGCCCAGCAAACATCGACCTTTTCCGTCAGCACGAGGCTTTTTGCGAGTTCGAGACCGGGAGAGTTGGCCAGGTGCGACTGGCCCTTCTTGAAGCCCATACCCACGACAAGGACGCTAGGTCTCAGCTTCTCGGCGCACAGTGTGTCAACCGCGCGCTGAGCGATAGCCATGGGGCGAGCTCGCATCTTCTCCGTTGCGTGTTGCAGGAGAGGAAACTGACTGTTCGTGAGAAGGTAATACGGGTTGACTGGAATGCAGTGACCACCAACGCCGAGGCTGGGCATAAACGGCATATATCCAAAGGGCTTGGTCGCCGCGGCACCGGACACCTCGTATGGGTCAACGCCGTGGCCCAAACAAGCATCGGCCATCTCGTTTGCGAACGCGATACACATCATACGCTGGCAATTCTCGTACAACTTGGTCATCTCTGCGACTTCGGGCCGAGACACAGGGACGACATTGTCAAACACCTGCGAGTACAGGCGAACAATGGCATTGAGCGAGCCTGGAACCACATCATCCAAGCCGGAAACGATTTTGGGAATGGCGAATGCAGGCGGCTCAACTCGGCCAGGGTCAACTCGTTCGGGCGACATGCCGGCAAAGAGGTGACGCTCCTTCGCCAGAGGCCCGAGCAGCTCTCTCGTCATACCGACTGCGACGGACGATTCGACGACAACCACCGAACCGGGGCGAGCGTATGTGGCGACGTTCTTGAGAGCAGATTTCAGAAAGGAAGCGTCAATGGTCTGGTCTGGGCGCAACAGTGTCGGAACTGAGATGAGAAAGTGCGTGGCAGCTGCCATATCGCTAGGCTTGCAAGTGAACTTGGCCTTGCTGTCTGGGCCAAATTCCTCGCCAAGACTCTGGACACGCGCCTCAGAGACATCAAAACCGAGAACGTTGAACTTGCGAGCAAAGTTGCCCACAAGGTGCTCTCCAACGTATCCGACACCGATGACGGCCACCAGAGGTTCCGCCTCTAGGTCAATGGAGCTTGCAACCGTGGCAAGCTCCTCATCCGATTCGCACTCCTCCGTGGGAGGTGTGATGGGGTAGTAGCCATCATGAGGGAAGTCCCATACTTGAGGCTTCGTCTCCGGGGAGTCGAAAGGATATCCGTTGTGGCAAGTCGGAGAACGCTCCGGGGTGTCGGGAGTGAGCATCTGGGTATCCATTGCAATGGAACGAGGGTGTAAACGAACGATGAGGGCTTCTACAAAACGAGTGGCGGGGTATGTCTGTGAAGATGAAGGAGAATATCTTTTCTGATATCTGCCTTTGAGAAAAAGTCAACTACACTGCCAAGTGTCTATAGCTCTTGAAAAGGGCGTAAGAGTGGAAGAGAGGGGCGCACGGAATGGAAGGAAGAAAGCCCTTGTCAGAGGAAAGGAAGCGGGAGTTAAAAAGACTTGCCAACTGAGGCACTGACATGATGGTCAGGCACAAGGAGGAAGGAAGAAGAGGAGACAGCCCACTCATGTTGACCCTGCCCCTGGCGTCAGCTTTCTCGAGGTTGCCCAGACCAGACCGTTGCGGCCGCCGTCCTCCATGGCAGCACCAGAGCAAAGCAATGATTGAGACATGGCATCGAACTGGGTGTTGCCGGGCCTAATCGGGATCCACGTCTGGTTTGCAGCATACGGCATAAACGCCATGGTAGTGGTGAGGCTCCCTCAAGCCAGCCCGGCGGCACGCGGCTGGAGAACAGCGACGGGGCCGTGGACAGATCAAAGTCGAAAAGCAGAACGACATGTTAGTTTCAGGTCGAGGCTAGCTCCCGAGCAGGCCAGAACTTGGGGTCAAACAGGCGACCATGAGCAATAGTTTGTCCAAAAGCAGTCCATGGCAAAGCGGCCTGAAGGTGGCTGAAGGTTCCACCCCCTCAGAGCGCAACCGCAACCACAACCACAGGCGCGCTTCGGCAAGACGACGCTGCACGGAGAAGATTACAATAGCGCAATATGGCATCAGCACAACGACAATGGCAGAATACTGCTCAGGCCGGGTGTGTCCAGACTCTCGTTACTCACCAGCAAGATCATCCAGCGTGGAATCGCCAAGCTGGCAAGCCCGGATGCATGAGGCAGGCAAAGACACTCATCTCCCCTGTCTGCCCACGGCACTCTCACGGCTCGCCGAGATGTACTCCGACGCTTGATGTCATGCAGAACGCCCCCCGTCAACAGTTGCTGAGGGCCAATTTTTGTGAGGAGGTTGCTGCGGCCTGCTCGGCTGGCCTGGGAGTAAGTATGCTTTCTTGGAACTTGGACGCGGAATTCGACCATGACAATCTTTGTTGCATGGTCATATTCGAGGTTCGTAAGCGGTGGTCCAGGGTACTGCTGGATCGAGATGAATCGAAAAGGGCCCGAGGTTACGCTGGGGTCACCTTCGCATCTCACGGCCGAAGGGGGTGCTTGCTTGGCCACCGGCCTTGGGCGCGTCGATCACGCATGGCTGGATTCTTTTCACGGAAGAGATTTCTCAACCTCTCTTTTCCGGCAGTGTCCCAAAAAAAGGCTTGGAGGTCATCTTCGACAGAAACCTTGCGAGAATATCGACAGGGGGTCTCCAAGACGAGAAGAAGGGTGTATGGGCAAGCTGGAAAAGAGCCAGGATGAGGCTTGCTTGCAGAGTACGGACTGAAGGCGGCGTACAGAAAGCTCCTTCGGTCTCCGTATTCCGTATGCCCATATCGAGGTCGACGGAAGCCACTGTCTTGGCAGCTTGATATCGAGTCGAGAGTCGATTGAGACGACGTTATGTGTCGAAGCACAACAATAGACAAGTAAGTGTACGGTTGTGGAGGAGATGATTGGTGTGAGGAACGAGACAAGGAACGTTCGGTCAGCTCCCCATGGATATGCATATGGATATGCATATGGGAGATGCATATGCAAGTGTCATGCAATATGCATTACGGCAGCATGATGGCGAGGGATCCGCCCCCGCCAATGCTTTATTGCATCTCGGGAAAACGCTGGGTGGTATTGCATGAGTGCGAAGTCCACAAGGGGCGGGGTGTCTCTCATCCCCGCTCGACTTTCTTCTTTCTTCATCTTCTCCGTTACTGCATCGCCATCTTATCATTTCCACACGCCCCCTCCATCATCACCACATCACCCACCCACCCTCCTCCATCCCCCCCGTCCGCTCCTCCTTCGTGAGCTACGTACTCCGTAGTACGTAGTAGGCTCCCAGCTTTGTGGGGCACGAGCCCTTCAATGGCTTACCGGTCCGTCCTCCACGATTCCATCCCATCAACCGCCCCGTTCGACACCGATCCAAGCTTCCAAGCCACAAACGGCCCCTTGCACTGGGCGGCATACACGTGGTGGAGAAACCCGCCAACGGACAACTGTTTCCCTCAGAGACGCCTCTTTTTGTGCTGTCCGCTCTCTCTGACCCTCGTTCAGGAAGAGAAGAAGAAAACATCAACGCCAAGAACCTCCCTTCATCTCGTCATTCTCGGCTCGGGACCGGCGCGGCGCCTTGGGGGGATGCGCTTGTGTTGCACATGTGGCGGACCTACCAGCTGGATTTCATTTTCGGGACCTCTCAAGCCACAGCGGACTTCTGTCAGCCAGCAAACAAGCGGCCTCTGGTATTCCTACTGAACGATGCTATTTGCAGTCCCGCCGCCTGGGGCCAACATATGGCTCGAGCCGACGGGTTGTAGCATGATGCTTCATTCAAACAAGCAAAACCTCTGTCCGAAACGGGGCGCTGAGAAGTTTTGATCGACAGCCAAGTCGCACACCGTCGACCGGGACGGCATCATCAAGCATTCGGCTCGTTTCATACCACGAGGGCAGCTCTTCTCGAAAGGGAGCCAAAAGCGGGAATCTGCCTCTGCACTCCTATGTGGCCGTTGACGACGGCTTCGACTGTAATGCCGTCTCCTCACCACGATCTCGCAACACTTGCCGACCTGTCTCCCGATCACCAGAAGCCCACTGCAGCGTCCACGGACGAAGGTGCACCGCCACTGCGCGCTTCTCATACTAGTTCTCTGTGGTTCAAAAGACTTTTTCAATGTTCTGACCATGGGACTTGCCATCGTGCTCGGTGGGTGCCCTCAACACTAGCATGATTGGTGGGACTTTGTGCCCTCTTCTCAAGCTGACGAACCAAAAGATGGGATGGCAAAATGCGTCTGCGCTGGTGCCATCTGCACTGCAAATGCAAGATGCAATACAATTATAGAAATACAGAGGCACCCCCAACGGATCGGGGATGGATATTGGAGCCGCAGCTCACAGCCCTGCCAGGTCGGCGCCAAGTTCTGCCAACAATGCAAAGAAGACGAGGTGCATCTCAATCTTTGTGTGAGGTTAGGGATGTCATTGGCCCCAGTCATGATCGCACCGCTTCAGTCTGGTGACTTGTACGTCCTTAGGCTTTCGGTTATACGAGGAGGTCTAATCGATGAGGCTGCCGTCTTTACTCAATCTTTCGCACCTTACGACCTTGTCCGACCTGATGACATCAAGAACCCAACAAGCGTAGGCTGACCAATACTCACGGGGACGAGAAACTCTCAACGTAGTGTCTGCCTGATTACTGAAAGAGTTGGTTTGCGGAGAGGAGGATGCTGACGGCACTAAAAGATTGGAGCAAAGCGACATTTTTTTTGTTTACCGCCAAGAACCAAAAGTTCTATGCCCGTTTGTTGGAGTCTAGGAGGCAGGAAATGCCGACCAGAACCTCGCTGACGAGGACGCGGCAACAAGCGTAGTAGTGTGTCGCCGGGTATCGGCGACTGCACCTCTCGGGTTCATTACCAAAACCTCGGAGACAGCCAAGGACCGGCGCGTCCGTAGGAGGACAAGCCTGACCAGCCTGGGGAAACACAAGCCCGTCCATTCGGGTTGTCTGCTGAAAGATTCCGATCTTCGCACCAGCTTTTCGGGGTCGACATACGACGGTGAAGAGAAGCAGATGAAAGACAACGTATCCTTGTTCTCAACTTGGTCTTCGAAATCATGCGGCGAGACCATTCTCGCGGTCAAGTTTCATTTCGAACATCGATGCCGCAGGACACGGAACCTGGACGAGCGAATTTCTTTGAGAAGAGACAAAGACGGGTGTCTAGGTACTTCACCATGATGACTCCCCGCCTCTCATCTCGTTATGCGCATCTTTACACAGAGCAAAGTTTTCCTCGGATAATCCAATGTGGATAATTGACAGGGGGAATACACCCATATCCAGGGATTCTGGACTGTTCGGGGGCATCTCGTCGCCCACGGGCAGCCCCCCGGTTACATCCCAGCCCTGGTCTTTGATCTTCCTCTAGGTATGCCCCTGTCACTTTCACAAAGCACATCATCAATCTATCATCAGGGCACTTGCAGTGGATCTTCGGTCTGTCTGGCTGGAGGTTGGCATGCTGGCCTGACTGGATACGTTATTGCCCAGCTTCTGCAGCTCCAAGTCTGCAAGGGCCCAATAAGTCTGGTCTCACTCAGCCCATTTCATACTCAATTGGGAGAAAAATTTTCCTTTTCACCGTTAGCCTGCCAACGCACACCTTGTCTACCATTCACCGTCCGGCTGTTGGACGGCTGGCCTCGTACACGAGCAATATCTGCCGATCCCAGCCTTTAGTCGGGCACAACGGGGCCGTGATCGGGTGAAAGCTCATATGGGTTCATCTCTTCGACCCCGCGAGCTTCCCGTACGGCGCACCTAACCCGGCTCTCACGGCTCCGCAACTCGTATGCCACCTGTCGACAGCCTATGCGTCAAGGTCTGGCATGTAGTCATGCTGGGGTCGCGTACGAATAGTTGGGTCCGAAGCCATGGATTCAGCCATCTAGAGGATCGTAGGACGCAATGTCATGCTGAATATTGGAGTCTTAGCCCACGATCTGACGAAGCGCCGCCTCGTATCGAGAGAGTTGAAGGTGCCAGCCTACCTTTGCAAGTGCCGTTTCTCCCGTCTGACTCCATCCATCTTTGACCTGAGGAATGCCATTATATGCGCTTGGCCAGCGCCATTGATCCAGCTGCCAAGTCACACGCTCTCAGCCAGCCTACTCTTGCCCTCTCTGTCAATACAACCCGAGGGACTGGACTCAACACGGCGTCCTTGGCAGGTCTGTAGGAGCAATATCCATCTTCGTAGTGTAAAGCCGAAGACCAGTCATTATCGTCGAGGAATCTCTCGTAAATACCGCCCTTCGCCTTCTTTGAATCATTCCGGAACCTATTCTCCATCTTGCCCGCAGCGTCGATCGGTCGGAATCATACCCTCTTTGCCTTGCAGACTGCCTCACATTCTCTAGCTATGCATGCGCTTCTGCCTATTCTCCTTTCAGGGGCGGCCATGGCCGCCACTATAAACGCTCCCCTGAGAAAGCGCGCCGAGTGCGGGCCCGGAATCGGGTCCTGTGATCCGGGCCAGTGTTGCTCAGAAGCCGGCTGGTGTGGAACGACGGCAGATTATTGCGGCGGCTCGCAATGCCAACTTGATTACAGCGACTCTTGCGATACCTTGTAAGTTCACGTCGGTCGAAGTTTCCACTGTGCCGCACAGTTGCTAACCAAGCCTCGAAAGCTTCCCGCCACCTGGTGCTAGCACAGAGAGTATCGCGCGGCCCCTCGTGGGTTCCGTGCCTTATGGTGTGTTCATCTGCCTATGCATCGTGGGACGGACCTAACTTGCATATCCGTCTAGGCTCAATCATCACCACTTGCGCCAACCCAGGAACCTTGGCATTGACCTATGATGATGGCCCTTACATCTACACCTCCAACCTGCTCGACATCCTGGAGGCCCAGAACATCACCGCCACCTTCTTTGTCGCCGGCAACAACATTGGCAAGAACCGGATGGACAACCCCGATACGCCTTGGCCGGCCGTAATGCAAAGAATGTACGCCGCCGGCCACCATATTGCAAGCCATACATGGACCCACCGCAACCTGAACGAGGTCAATAGCACCATCCAGAGAACTGAGATCATCTACAACGAAATGGCATTCCGAAACCTATTCGGCTGGATTCCCACTTACATACGCCCGCCATTCCTTGAATGTGACGCCGGGTCAGGATGTCAGAACCTGCTCAAGACGCTCGGCTACCACATCATCAACGTTAATATCGACACCAAGGACTACATGTATGATTCGCCTGAAGAGATCCAGACCGCCAAGGACCGCTTCTCCAATGGTGTCTCAACAAATGCGGCAGCAAACAAGTACATCGAGCTGTCCCATGATGTGCACTATCAGACCGTGGTCAACTTGACCCAGTTCATGATTGATACTGCCAAGGCGCGTGGTTATCGCCTTGTGACCGTAGGAGAGTGTCTCAATGACCCCAGAGAAAACTGGTACCGGTCAGCGGGTGGCGCCATTAGCTCCGGCGTCGCAGTCGGCACGACGAGGACGACGACAACAACCTCGGTGCCCACTTCCGCGGTCTCGACGCCTGTATCATCGCTGCAGACCAGAGCTACGTCTAGCACAACATCAACCAGCGTCGTAACTCGCACATCGTCGTCAAGCGTCCCTGCTTCGACCAACGTATCACCGGACCAGACCTGTGGTGGTACCACGGGTTACACGTGCCTCAACTCAGCGTTTGGCAACTGCTGCTCCTACTATGGATTCT